TAGCAGTTTTTTCTCCCGAACCCTCCAAACCATAAAAACCACTATTAACTATATTTTCATTCCTTTACCTCAAGAGTTTTTTTTCCTGCTGGTCAGATTTGTGTTTACCGCTTCCCTTGACAATGCCTGTAAACTGACATTAAATAAAATTATCATCCTTATCATCTTTGGACTGCGGGGCGGCAATGTTTGCCGATAGCATGAAGATATGGTGTGCAATTTGGGACCTGCCGACGAAGACTGCACATGAACCTGAATCGGTTGGAAGACTGGTCAAACCGTTTGCTCCTGCGGTTCAACGTTGACAAATGTAGCATACTTCGCCTAGGCAACACAGCCAGATCCGTCAATACAAGAAAGTGCTTTCTGGGAGGCGCAGCTTTACGAGGTGTCGAAGCCCAAAAAGACCTCGCTATGCTGACGACGAACTCCCTAAAACCATCCGCTCATTGTACGACAGTGGCAAAATGCGCAGTGTCCGTACAGTACGCCACTTAGCGTGCATTTATGGATTTTGACGAAGATGCTTTCGGAACCTTCGTGCGGCCACGCGTGGAACCCGAGAGACTGTGGGCAGTTCAAGATCAAAATTGCCTCGAAACAGTTCAGAGGAGAGCCACGAAGCTGGTTAGGGGCCAAAGCTCCTTTCCTTTTGTATCCCGCCAAATAAATCTGCACCACTTCCCTTTGAGTTACAGCCTGGTCTTTGACGACTTTTTGAATTTCCCACCACGACCAACCTCCAAAGTCACACGTTTAAACTGCCCACTCAACAGTCAAGACTGGATGTGGGAGAGTTCTCCTTCACTGTTTAAGTGGTCAAAGCATGGAATGCATTTCCTGCTGATGTTTTGAATTCACCGTTTACACAAAGTTTTTAAAAGAACCTCGACATATTTTGTTCCGAAATGACTAACAGCGATGAGAGGTCGAGCTCATTCCCTGTGACTGGCTCCAATTTTGTCCTACCATTATGGGCTCGTTTGACCTATTTCAGTCCAGAAAACTTTCTGTACACCACATATTCTTACGTTACAAATAGGGTATTCAAAACCTCACGCCTATTTCCCTCAATAAACTGAGCTGAAGAGCAAAAACAACTCCTTCAGCGATTTCAAAGGCCATGATCACATTCCCAGTGTGATTTCTATCAAAGAGAGAAGAGATTATTTTATAGACTTCTGACTTAGGATAGGTATTTTAACCCACTTGTCATTTCGGTCGTTGTTTGTCGTGCATTCTCCAACAGGGTGTACTTTGTCCCGTCTGGGGGCGCCGCGCCTGGACGCAGTACTTCAACATTGCCCGGACTTATGTTCTAAAGACTCGACCGAAAAACTCTTCTTCAAACTGAGGAGGGAACTCCTAATCATGTCCAAGATTTATATTGCTTTCTCCGATACCTTATCGCAGTAAGACGTTGACTGAGAGTGAAGAGCATTCACACGTCGAGGTCTC